GCAGCTACTGAGTCACAGCCAGCTACTGTTGTGCTAACATACATATTTTAAGTAAAAAAGTATGGAATGGATTGTTGTAATCCAGGGTTATGCCCTTTAAATAAGTAATTTTAAAATGACTCTAACATGCAGATTTATATGCATTTAGGTTCCACTATTTCTGTAATATAGACTGTGGTAATAATAGTTGCTTTATTTATAGTCTTAGTTCAAATTTAATTTACATACTTAAAAATGGATACAACCAAATGCCCATTTCAGCCAAAAGATTCTTCAAACCAAACAATATAAAACAACAATAAATTCTCACCTGCCTCACAAGCACAAGGATCTGAGTTCAATCCCTGGTACCAAAACAAAACAACAACAACAACAACAGCAACAAAAATAAAACAACAATAATTTTTTTTTTTTTTTTTTTTTGGTTTTTTCTTGAAACAGGTTTTCACTATGTAGTTGAGACTGACCTGGAACTCACTGTGTAGCTCAGGCTGGTCTTGAACTCACAGCAGTCCTCCTGTCTCAGCCTCCTGAGTGCTGGGATTAAAGGCTTGCACCACCACGCCCTGCCAGACCACAGTAAATTCTAAGTAAATCACCCAATGAATATTTAAGCAATTCAGTTTGTTTTACCCTGGGAAGATATGTATATATGGGGATGGATTAGAATCCCCAGCTATATACCAAGATAACTCTAGTTCATTTGAAAGGAGAATCAGTTCATTAAAGTGGTTTTTGTAAGAAAAAAACTCAGCTTTCCTATATCTTTTTATTTTTCAAGGTGTAGTCAGAAAATAAGAATTGTGTATATTTAAATAGTGCAGTGTGGTCTTTTATGCATGTATATATTGTGAAATGGTTAAGTCAAGTTAATTGACATTCTTCATATTCTTATCATTTTTTGTTTTAAGGACATTTACCAATTGCAAGTATATAATAATTACTATTAACTACGGTCACCATGTTGTGTAGTAGATCACCCAAATTTATTCCACTCATCTGATTGAACAGTTGACCAACAACCCCCCGTCCCTACACCTGCAGTCTGTCTCCACCACCACCACTTGATTCTCTGCTTCTATGAGTTTGACTTTTAACCTTTTTCCATATCAGTGAGATCATGTGGTATTTGTCTTTCTGTGTCTTTTTATCCAGGTTGTCTCAAAAGATATCTTCTACATGTTTTAATTTATTCCTTGATAGTCCCCATGTCCTTGCTTTTATGGTATAAAAAATGTGAAGTGAAAAGAGTATAATATGTCTAGGAACTACACTAGAGGTAATATTTAAAAAGGGCATTGAAGGTCCTCAGACATAATGGGAGGATTTGGAGATTTTAAATTTTATACAACAGTAATGATCATTTGAACATATACTTTGGGCAATGCATGGAACCCACAAAGGGATGCAAACATGGCATACAAGCTTTGCCTTCAAGAAACTTACTGTTTAGTGCAGAAGCTTGACTGACAGTTTTCTTTATGGCTTCTGATCAAACATGGCGTAATAAAAAACGTTTTTATTTCAGAACTCTATTTCATTTCCTAATAGTAATAAGTAAAAGAAGGGAAAAGAGGGAATGAAAAACCATTATTAATGATGATAAGATTTAGTTATAAGCCAAAACTAAAAGGAAAGGTGAAGAACAATGTCTGGCACAGTGGAAATCAGACAAAAAAGTGTGAAGAAACTGCCTGCAAACCTTTACGTGTGTGCAGAGTCAAGATAGTAGGGTGGTGAGAGAGAAAAAAATATGTTCCATAAGTTTTTGTTAGTGGCTACAGAAAGTTAGGAAAGGAGACACTGAAAAACCCAGACCACATCTGAAAACTTTATTGTAACCTCAGTAGCCTTTTGCTTACCCTGAAGTAAGAACCGAGATTAGGGACAGAACCCAGCAGGTTCTTACCAACAGCAGTACAGCAACAAAATACCTGAATGGAGGCCACCACTGCTGTTCTTCATTTTTTTGTTTTTTTGCTTTGTTTTTGGTACTGGGGATCAAACTCGGAACGTTCATGCTTGCAAAGCAGGTGACGGAACCACTGAGCTAAATTCCCAGCCCTGCTGTTCTTCATTTTTAGTAAATTCTTAAATTCAGGTGGCCTTCATTAAACAATGAATAATAACTAGAAAGGAACCAATTTTGACACTGTATTTAGCGTTTTAAAAAGAGCTAAGAAATACAAATAAAGCAGAATATGCAAGAAGTTAATATTAAGATGCAGAAGAAAATTTCAAACAAGTCTTCATGGTCTTTAATCTCTAAATAAAACATAGTATCTATCAGACAAGATATCGAATAAATATATGCAGCAGCTCAAAGAACAATGATAAAACTTAGTATCAGAAATCTGGGAAAAGGAACAAAATAAAATTATTGTAGAAATGAAAGTCATACCAGAGTGGCAAAAAGGAAAGTAAACTGTGAACAGGCTCCTGAAGAGTGGTGCTTCAGAAAATCAAATAAAAATGAATACAGATAAGAGTGTCTCAGAGCAAATGAGAGCTACTCAAGGCAAAAACAATCCATGGGAAATGCAGCTAGTGCTTCTGAAAAAGTAAATCTGGTGAAACAAAGACCATTAACAGAAGTAGACGAAAAATGTGTCAAGTAACACATGAACAACTCATGGAATAAATCACTTACGAATCCTTTAGAAACGATGACTCCTCATTTGTGATCTAACTAAACAGGAAGAGTCTCAAAGTAGAGAACTTAGGCATGAAGCTGCCATGTTAGAGATTAATGGTTCCAAGAGAGTGGAAGTGTTACTAAGCTTTGCAAAATAGACGTAATGATATCTGTAATAAGAGTGAGAAGGGGAAATAATTCTCAAAAACAGTATGACAAATAAATGCGATTAATGTTTCAGGATGTTATTTAACATTATTGTCAGGAGTTCAGTAGAGCCGGAAGGAGGGAGCTGAACTGGTAGCTGTCAGAGAAGCTGATTAAGGCAAAAAGCCAGAAATGAAAAAGTTAAGCTTTCACGCGTTGTGGTGTTATTAGCAACAATTAAACCAGGCGAAAATGCTCAATTCTTCATGTTCTGGGTCCCCATGGGTCACAGCACATGGGGCCATCTCTCTGTTGAAGGAGCCACTGCCATTGAGAGGATGATGGGGTGGGCAAGAAACAGCAAAGTGCTTGGCCCTGAGTTAGAGTGGAGGGAATTGTCCTCAAGGTTCCCTCCCCTCTCCCTAGAAGGAGCCCTTGGCAGAGGATTTTTGCCTGAGATCTCAGAATAGAGACTTAGGGATGAGAGCTTTGAGACTAGCGTGTAGTGTGTCAAGAATGTGACTGTCAAGTTTCTGTCAGAGACTTTAATGCAGGTAGCACTGCTCTATACTACCCAAATCTAGTTGGAAAGCCAGCTTTCCCCCAGGAGATTTCCCAAGGACAGCCTTTGTAATTGCCCATGGTTGAACCTGAAAAAAATCACACATCGGTATTCAACAAGAAGCAGAACTCAGTCAAAGAGATAACAACTGATAAAACTAAAACCACTAAGTTACCAGATGGCGAATGGAAAATTAATAGTCACTAGTGTGCAAACTTCATGTCAGCAGAAATCTCATCTGATTTGTTCATTTTTGTAATCCAAGACTAGCGCAACGCTTGGCATAGAATAGGTACTCTGAGTGTTGGTGAATTAATTTATGATTGTATTTTAGTGCACAACATATTGTGCCTTAAAAATGAGCAATGAAATACCAGGCAAATGCTAATAAAGTATAAAAGAGAACGCAGAATCGATGCTAAATAAGATGGGTTGCAAGTCAAAAACATTGAGGAGCTCTAGAAACTTGCTCTATAATGATAATTTGTGCAGTCCTCAAAGAAGATCTAATTGTCATGTGTGTACATGCATAAAATAACATCAAAGTTCATAGGGCAGGACATGATAAGAAATATCCCTCACAAGTTTTTTATTGAATGCCTGTTATGTACTACAAAAAGGAAACCATTGTCTTATGAATATAAACTCAGTAATTCTAAATAAAATAAGAGCATATAGATCAGATCAGATGCAATAGGTTGGAATTAGGAATTCTATTAATATTGTTTAACACACTAATTATTGGAAAGAGCAAAACTGTCAGAGATATTTGACAAGGTGCACAATAATTTTAATTTTTCTTAATAAGATTAAAGAGCGAGTACTACTCATATATAACTTATGGCTTTATAGATGTTACTAACTTTTAACACAAGGCAGGAGGTCTGTAAGTACCTATCAGTCAATAATGCTTTTTGTTTTCACAACTGGTGATACACCTATCAGTCACTCTGTCATGTTTGCCTCTACATTGAAAATAGAAAAAGGTCTCATTTGCATTGTTTTGCAGTTGTTTATAGTCAGAAATCTTCAGATGAATCCAACTGATCCCTCTAATTTGCTTCATTTTATATCGGATGCTAAGCGAAGAGAAATGTCAGGCATGTGTTTGTCATTCTCACTAGGCACTTGGTGTACATCTTTAGACAGCAGTTTAAAGGGATCAGCCCAGAATGACCACCTTCTTAATTGTAATACACTTCTAGAATGCTTAAAAACACAGAAAAAGGAACACCTTTCCTGAGCTCCGTGAAGAGTGAGTTAACCTGGTAATGGGCCTCCTAGATCCCATGCCAGAGATCGTTAATGATAAAGTCCACCCTATGTGACTGTGGAAAACAGAGCAGTGTCACGCTGGAGCCGGCCTGGAGGCCACAGTGCTCAGGACAGAGGGAAAGCTTGTTCCGCCCTGCGCTGGCTGCTGGCTTAGGACCTTGGGAAAAGTCCCCTCATTTCTCACAACCTCCGTTTACTGTCTTACTTCCTGGCAAGACTGCTTTCGGAAGTTAGCTTGACTGGAGTTGATTTGAAAAGTATTTTGTTATATAAACTGTTAAGATTTCTGATATATTTAGTTATGATTGGTTAACATTTTTTTCTTCTTTCTATGTGCTTTTTAATATTCTTTTTTTTTTCTCCCAAATGTTCATTCCTCAGGGCATTACACTGGATGAGTTTGACAAATTATCTTTCAATATGATTTTAATGAGCCCTCCGTGCCAGCCGTTTACAAGGTATATACAGTGTATTTTCCTGAGAAAGTGCTTCTGAAGACTGCTAGCTACATTTTCATAGTTTTGAAATTTTTCAAAATAAACAATTCCTCTCATCTACTCATAGTCATACTTCAGCATTAGTCTTAAAGGAAATGATGATTATGATTACATGAGCCCAATAGCGTGATGAACAGCAATATGCAAGGTGGTTCTCCTGTATACCTACCTTATACACAGCATTGATTTCTGGCCCAAATCACTTTAGTTCGTTTCAACTGTTGAGCATTGAAGAATACAGATTAATGAAAATGAATTTCCATAATAAAATTCAAATGTAAATTTAATGTATAATTTAAAAGCTTGTCTAGCATGCATTTATGCATTTGTGAATTTTCTATTTCTTAAAATTGATATGTACATTTAATAATTCTGGCTTTTCCTAGCCAGTGATTATAATTTCTGTATTAAAAATCATGTAGTATTTATTTTACTACACAGTTTGAGGGATTATGTCTTAAATGAAATCTGAGCTAAATCATCTTCACTTAGATATTTTTAATAATTTTATTTTACATTATTTTAAGTAGTAGTAATAATAATATACCTAAGTGCCTTACATTCAACGAACTCATGGGGTAAGCATTGCTTCTATTATTATTTTATAGGTGAGAAACTGGAGCACAGAAAGGTTGAATAGCTTTTCCTTTAAAGTCTGAGCCAGGATTTATCGATCAATTTATATATTTCTGTTGCATAGTGGAAGAATACTGAATACCAAAAGAGCATAGTGAAGAAAATGGCTAGCGCTTATTAGGAGGGGAATTCAGAGGTGATGCCTGAACTGTGTCTGAGAGTAGATAAGAGTTTATCAGAGTGGGCAGAGGACACTTCATATAAAGGAGCTCTAAGCATAAGCAGGAACATGGCCTGTTAGGCGAAATAAGTAGGGTATACAGAATAAAATGCAGCCCCACCATTGCAAAGCATCCTAGATTACCCCAGTATCTTTCTTACTACTGCCCTTACCTTATTAGCCCAGTTCAACTGCTGATGACTGCAGTAACTGTTCTGTAGTTGTCAACGTTTGGAAATTGGAGAAGAAAGGGACAGAATGTGAGGAACCAAAGATTTCTACAGGAATCTGTCCAGTCTAATCCCCAAGCTAAGCCTCAGGTCCACTGGTGATTTTGGCTCTGATAACTGATAAATGACGTTGGGTAACTTATTTAAGATCATGAAACTAATGAGTACTGAGGCTTTGAACTCTAGTCCTCTTCCTGCTATTCAGGCCTCATCCATATCTTTCCTTCAGCTTGATCCTTGATCAATCATATTGTGACTCTTAACTTGTGAGATTTAATTGCTAACCCCAATTCTTCCTGTTTATAGAACCAAACCTTCATTTTAAAGCCTTCGTTAACATTGGACAAAATTGTCTTAGTCTTACTATTTTATCTGCTGAAATGATTATCGCCAGTGTCTTGAGATCCAGTCTCCTACACTCCCTAAGCAGCCATTTATATGAACTTTTCTTGTCCCGCATATGTCAGAGCAAAAGATATTATCAGGAAATTGTGTGATGTGTTTTAAGAATACTCAGTTATGTTACTTAATGAGGTCGTGTTCTTCTTTGGCTCCTGTAAGTTACTTTGGCATATTGCTTTATGAAACAAACTTTGAGTGCATTTATTAGATTTGTAAGGCTTCTTCATCTTTCAGTTAAATGAGTTAATACATTTTCTTCACCATAGTCAGAAAGATGCCTGTATTTTTTTTGCTGAGGATCAACTATTTTAAAATAGTACACACAAGTTATACAGAAGAGTGGTTTCATTCTGCCATACTCATATATGCATATAATATACTTTGATTTTTATCTCTCATTATCTTCATTCCCTTCCTCCTCCTCTCCCAGGACCATTTCTTTTTTTAAAATTTCCTTTTAGATTAATCAGGTGAAGGAAAACATTCTATGCTTGACTTTCTGAGTCTGGCTTATTTCATTTAACTTGATGATTTCCAGTTCTATCCATTTGCCTATAAATAACATGATTTTATTCTTTCTGACTGAATAATCCCCATTGTGTATAGATACCACATTTTCTTTAACCATTCATCTGTTGGTGGCATCAGGGCTGTTTCCATGGCTTAGCTATTGTGAATAGTGCCACAATAAACATGGGTATGCAGGTGTCTATTGTGATCCTGATTTTAATTGTTTTGGGAATATACCAAGGAATGGTTTTTCTAAATTAAATAATATCTCTATTTTTAGTGTTTTGAAGAAACTCCATGCTGAGTTCCATGATTGTACTAATATACATTCCCACCAACAGTGTGAAAAAGCGCCTCCCTTCTCACCAACATTTATTGCTGTTTGTGTTCTTTCTGATAGTTATTCTGACTGGGGCAGATGGAATCTAAAGGTAGCTCAGATTTGCATTTCCCTGATGGCTAAAGATGGACCAACATATTTTAATGTTCTCAGTTTTGACTTTTTAAAGAGCAATTTTCTGTGTTTCTATAAAATTCTTGATAACCATTTTGTGCTTTCTTTATTCCTTTAGAATTGGCCTACAGGGTGATATGACTGATCGAAGAACAAATAGCTTCTTACATATTCTAGACATTCTCCCAAGGTAAAATTTTCTATTTTTGTACCTTACATTTAAGACTATGGGTCTGGAGCAATGTGTTGTTTGTCATGCCGTGGAGATTAGCAGGTTTCCAAATACGGTGTGTGTCATCTATCATCTCACGCCATGACTAATGGAATAACTGCAAGTGTTCTGATTCCATGCTTGACACCGCAGTGAGTGACAGGGATTATAGCCCACAAGTTGAGTTCTGTTGCCTTTCCTCGTAGTAGTAATGTAAATGATGCTAACATGAGTGACTGCTGTTCTTCACAGCAGAGGGCAGAGATGTGTGCTAATGCTGTCACTCTGTGTGAACGGCCACCCTTTGAGTTGTGCAAGCCAGTGTTTTGGGGTGAGCCTCAAAAGAAATTAACATTTCAAGTGTGGGCTTTATCAAGTGTGCCGTATTTATGGAGAGAAAAAAATGAATAAAATATGAGTTGTCTCCATTCTCTAAATCTCCTTTATGAAGAAATTTTAAAAATTGCTTAACCTGATGTTTCCCACAAGTAGAGATCTTTACTTTTTACTTCTTGTCATGAAATATTTGGAATTACATTGTTTGATTTTTTTTTTTTAGATTACAAAAATTACCGAAGTATATTCTTTTAGAAAATGTTAAAGGTTTTGAAGTATCTTCTACAAGGTAAAAAATTTTATTGTCTTGCTTACATCTTCCACTTGCTGTGTTTTATAGTAGGAATGGTTTTGAAATCAAGGTCACAAAATAAACATTCATGTCCTGACATTTTATTCACATATTGCATACTTACTAAGAATGATGTTGAATAATAATCTGAAGTATTATAAGGTTTTGCTATATTGAGTCTGTCCCATTTTGATATGTTTGAATTTTTCCAGTGGAGCCTTGCTTTTAGTGAGAATATATTTCTCAATTTTAGGCACTTATATCGGTGGTGCCTATTTCTTTTGAAGTAGCAAAGTGTTCAGTAAGAATGGTCCTGGCAGTGGCATTTTCTGCCCTCCAGTTTCATGAGTGAAATAGCCCTGCATCAGAGTTCTGTCAGATGGTAGCCCAGGTGGGGAGAGACACCCGTCTGAGCCCTTGATTTACCTGCTGTTTATAATGATGGTGTTTCCATCCAGTTTACTGCCACAAGGCTATAGCTTCAGTTTCTATGGCAAATTCATCAGTAGATTAGTGATGACTTTCATGGATTTGAGTGTGTTATTTGGCAGCTTTATTTACTTGTAAAAAAGAATTATCTGTATCTTTTTAATAAAAGATACTTTATCCAGTACTGGACTTAACAAAGGCTTGAGATCATTGTCTTTCCCAACAGCTCAAATGCCATTACAGTTCTCACTTACAGTACAGTTTTATGTACATTATTTTGAGTCCCACTTCCAAATAAAGAGTGAAAGCTTTTCTTTTTCTTTTCAGAGACCTATTGATAGAAACAATAGAAAATTGTGGCTTTCAGTACCAAGAATTTCTATTATCTCCAACCTCTGTAGGTAACACAAGTATAAATCCTTTTATAGATTATAATGTAAGGATTTTCTTTTCTTACTTGGAATTTGGTCAATGAACAAAATGGCTCTATATTCAGTAATATATTATGTAAACCCTAAAATTAGTCCAGATTTGGGTCTTACTTTCTAAACAATGTAGTAAATGCATGTAGATTTATTTATACTTATTTCATGAAAAAATTGTATATCTTAAAGCTCATAAAGGATACATTTTTCCATTGGAAAAGAAATGATAACATGTTGCATATTTTGAAGGTATGTGCAGTTTGGCATTTCCAAAGTAGATGTGCTATGTTTAGTAATGCTTCAGAATAAACCAAAATAGAAAATAAAATGAGTGTATGATTCTGATTATTTTTTGTGGGACATATCATTAAATTGCAAACATTCATTTCATGTTAAGAAATTGAAGTAACTGATTTTACAGTATATGACAGAGTTTGATTTTGCATGTCACTGTTTTGTCATTGTTCTCTTTAGTTTCTTATAATCTTTAGCCATATTATATATTTATTTTCCCAGAAATAAAAAGATAGATATATAATCTGTGGAAGTTGGCAATATATCTAATCTCTTTAAATTTATTTCATATTTAGTGCCTTTCAACTGCTAAAATTTAGTGGATCCTTTTTTAATCAAAGTAATAAATAACCAAGAGTAACTATAAGCAACTTTCATTTTTTATAAAATGCCTATGTGTTATAATTATTTCATCTGTGAAATATAAAATGAAAGTGACTCAGAAACACATGGTTCATGGGATTCAATCTTTATGTCATACAGAATAGCAGGTTAAGTGATTTAGAATTCAGTCCAAAGAAACCTTCCAGAATTCAGTGGCAGAATTTGCCCTGGCAGAGGTTGATGTACACTGTTACTGGTGTCAGTGTGGATGCAGTGATGAGCTGCCCTGCTTCCCTTGCAGCTTGGCATTCCCAATTCAAGGCTCCGGTATTTCCTCATCGCAAAGCTTCAGTCAGAGCCGTTACCTTTCCAAGCCCCGGGCCAGGTATTATAATTTTTGTTATTATTGTCATTTCTTTGTTGTAAATGTTCCTCAGGCTGCTATTTTAACTTCAGCAACTGCTTTCTCTAGGATTCTAAGTGTCCAGTAGAGTCCATAGTCCTGACTTTGGTCCATCTTCAAGGCCTTTTCCCTCACCTAATGCCATTTTCATTGGTTCAAACTAACCAAAACCAAAACAAAACACACAAAAAGTCTTCTTCAGAAAAAAAATAAGTTAAAAGTAAGAACAAGCAAAAAATAACAACAAAAAAACAAACAAAAACACCTTATCGTTAGTGTTGGTAATTTATCTTTTGATCATTGATTATTTTGCATTTATCATTTTCTTTCCTCAATTGAAGTTTTTGATTATTTTTGATAAAGTACATTACCTTAAAAATGGCTTAAGAATACTTTAGTACATTGGTTGCATTTTCTTTAAAGCCAATGCTATTTAGCTTAATGGATTAGAATTAGTAATAGTTTGTAAAAGAATAAAGTATTCAGTTGGTATAGATAAAACTCTGATTCTGTGAGTAATTTTATGTGCTTCTGTCAAAAACGGAGATGGTTTAACAGTTTCATTGTGAAGCTCTCCAAAGGCACTGCTAGTCACATTAAGTACTCAAAAAGCAAGTCCTGCTGAGCATAGTGTGCATGCCTGCAATCTACAGCTCTTAGGAAGGCTGAGGCAAGTTTGAGTTCTATCTTAGAAGCTTAGCGAGACACTATCTCAAATAAGAAATGGAAAAGGACTGAAGATGTAGCTTAGTGATAGAGCACCCCTGGGTTCAATCTCTCAGTAACTCAAACAAAGCAAAATGAAAAAGCCAAGTCCTTCTAATAGGAAATCAGTTGGGTCATTTGTATCCTGTGTAATTAAAATGCTAATATATCTCCCTTTGCATAAAGAATTATTTGAAAATAATGTATAAAATAGATACATTAATAAAGACTTAGTCATTAAAAATGCCTGAGACAGTTTTTGTTTTATAAAATGGGGCTTTATACACGGTTATGAGTTTTGCAGAAAACAGTTTTTCCTGTGGGACTTATGAATAGAAATAACTTTTCTTTCACATGAAAAGCACGTTTCTTTTTTATTACTAGTTTTCTTTTAGATCATGAGTATGTTCCAGTTTTTCCTTTTTAATAAAGGAGTATGGCAAATTTTAACCCAAAACACATTTTTTTAGAAATGTTAATGTTGCTTTTAAATTTTTTTCCAAAGATGATACTTTATCTGTATTTGGTATACTTCCTGTTGCTTTCTTGAATATTTTTATCAATAAATACAGAAAACAGTAATTCCATGAACTAAATCATCTGTAGCTTTATGACACTTTTATAACTATGTAATCAGTAATTTGTAACAACTTGTACAAATACAAATATACCACAATTTCTGTCTGTTTACATGTAACCCAAAAAGGGTTTTTTTTCATAATATTACCTAGATGTTATTAATTTATCTTTGGTATTTAATAAAGCTTTTGACAATTTGTGTATTTTTTGCTAGGTACTGATGGATTTTCCTAAAATTGAATCTGAACATCCACAAAAACATGCAGTAAATGAAGAAAATAGAAGTAATGTAAAGAAAATTGAGCCTAATACTTGCTTTGATAGAAGCCCACAGTGTTCTGGAAAAGATACCATTCTTTTTAAGCTTGAAACTGCAGAAGAAATTAGCAGAAAGCATCAACAAGACAGTGATGTCTCTGTGCAGATGCTAAAAGATTTTCTTGAAGATGACATTGACACTGATCAGTACTTTTTACCGCCGAAATCATTGCTGCGATATGCTCTTTTATTAGATATTGTTAAGCCCACCTGCAGAAGGTCCATGTGCTTTACCAAAGGGTAGGTTTTCAAGAGTCTCCATTTGTGTTGTATCCACAGTAACCAGGCTTCTGTAGCTACTGTTTCCTTTAGTTGTTTTTTTGTTTTTGTTTTTGTTTTGTACTGGGGATTAAACTCAGGTCCTTGTGTTTGCGAAGCAGACAGTGGAACTACTGAGCTAAATCCCTGGCCCAGTTTCATTTAGTTTTTAAAACAAGGAACCTTGTATAAAATATTTCTGCCAGGATGATTTTTTTTTCCTTACTTGTAATTGCTTGCTTCATGTTCTATTAAAACAAAAGTGAAGTTTCCTTCTGGCAGAACTTTATGTGCAGCACCATGAAAGTGTTCGGACAAGGCCATTTGTTTGGTGACCTTCGTAAATAGGCATCATTTTCACATGGTTTCTGTAGCTCCCGAACTGCCAGGGTTTTACTGCTTCTCTTCCCATGCCACGTCAAGCCTCAAAGAGTCTTATGTCCACTCTCATGGTAAATGTGTAAGAAGAAATTAAATTTTAATCTAAAAATAAAATTGAATCATCTGTAGTATATTAGGGTAAATTTTAAATTTAAACTTTTTTCAATGTTTTAATAAGGACCATGGTTCAAAATGTCTCTTGGCCAGCTTGTGTATCTCCCTCCTGCCACTTGTGACATCTGTTTACTTTATTACCTTTCAGAAGTGTTGTTTGAGGGTTAAATATCCATATATGTTTTATCCCTATTTTCAATAAATGGTGGCCTACTATATAGTTTCTTTCGCTACACAATATAAATTGGATATTGCAGTACATCAGTACATACAGGTCTTCTTTATTTTTATGGTATAGGTATGTCATAGCTGGTCACCAATTGATGAACATTTAGGGTGCTTCCTTTGGATTCTTTTTTAAATGTTTAATACATTATCCTCAATTCTTAAAACCTAGAGGGAAAGGGGAAATTTTGCCCAAGATCCATCTTGTGAATGCCACTGACCTCATTTGATAGGTGTTGCCTGACGTAACAGTTTGAGCCTTCTCTTACCTACCTCCTAGCTATCGTGGGACAAGACACTATGCCCTGATAGAACTGTGTCAGACTCTTACTCTGTCATACTCTGCCCTTTACTTCTAGGGAAAAGGGTATATTACTTTATGTCACCATAAGTCTTCACTCAGTTCTTGTCTGTTACCAAGTCCAAGAGGTTCTGTTTAGGACTTTCATAAAATACGACTTATCAATTTTGTAATAAAAAGCAGCCTTGAGATTCTTTCAGAATTATAAAGATGGTTAAAAAAAAGAAGGCTTACTGTAGAAATCTGTTCTACTATAGATAATATGTAGATAACAGTCTACTATAGATAATATATATTCATATGTGATATACTTGAAAAAACAATTTGAAAAAGTTATTTTCCCAGTTGTGACTTTTAAAACTATATATCTTACACTGTTCTCTGTGCAAAATAATAACAGTGATACTATGTTGAGTAGCCAGCTTGGCAAATGATATTGGAGAATGAAATATTAGTAATTCCTTTCATTTCTGAAGTATTTTATACATTTTTTATACGGTGATGGTTCAATTCTTGTTGGAAATGACTGTAAGCACATGCTGAGTTAACCGAGATGCAGAGCCCAGCTCAGTGGGACCATGGCTGTGTGGTATGAGGGAGCAGGGTTTTGGGATCCTGAGAAGATGTGATGGGTCAGGCATTACTAAAAATAGCCATGGTCTCTTTCCACCCGTACAGTGATTTGCTTTCATGTGGCAGGGCTGCTGGTACTGGATAGCCTTTGAGTGTAAGGTGTAGTCTTTAGTGGTGAACATCACAGAAATGACAATTCTGGATTGGCAGCAGTAATCCAGTGGTTTTTATACAACTCAAACAACTATGTCATGCTAACTTCCGAGTTTAAGTAGAATTATCTTATGTCTTTTCCCTAGTGATTTTTCAATTATAAGTATATTTATAGGATATCATTCAGTATATTTTGGAAGGATGCAGCCACCTATCCAGATTAAGTCACTCAAGAAATAAGTTGTGATTTTTAGCACTAGGCACTGCCTAATACTCATGTTAATTTTCCAGTTATGGAAGTTACGTAGAAGGGACCGGATCTGTGTTACAGACTGCAGAGGATGTACAGGTACTATGTTTTAAAACGGAAATATTTGAAAACATAAATAATTTTACATTTAATTCTTAATTTGAAAATGTTAATTTTATGTGTTCAACTGAGAATGAACTTTATTCATTTTTGTATATATTCATATATAGTTTTTTACTGTGGTAGAAAAATTCCTCTTGTTGTCATGTATGACATTAAACATAGAGAATGTTTTATTTTTATTTTCCTTTTATTCTTGTATTCTGCATTTCCCTTTATTTGATAAATAGTAATTTGAAATTTAGCTTATTAATATTCTAAAGTTTTGCACAAAGATCTTAGTATTGGTGTCTTCCTTTGTAGCACCTACCATAAAACTTCTTTTAAAGATAAAAAATCTGTTGTAGGTAATGCATTTTATTTTTTAGCTATAAACACGTCATGGTATCATAGTTAAAAACAAGCCTGAGATACATCAAATTTATATATTTTTGAATAACTGTAAAGGCACATTCTCTTCTTTTCCACTGACTCAAACTCTTAACTATAAATAAAATTTACTTATGGTAAAAATTTGACATAGATCAATGAAGATCTGGGCTTGAGCAATTGTATTTAATATACAGTATTTTATCATCTTAAGAAAGTATCTTAGTTGAACGAAATTATATAAACAACACATTTTAATGATCTCATTAGCATTATAAAATTGACTGTTGCTTTGTTGGTTGACCCAGTTTCCTTTGTATCTTTTACTATATTTATGTTACATTGTCATTTATTGGTTATATTCTCATGATTTTGTTTTAAGGAATTGACAATGATAGATACACTGAAAAGTACCCTAGTGTATTCACTGTCAGCCTTTTCTTCTTCCGAAGTCATGTTGTGATTACCAGTCCAGGTATATAGGTTTTACACGAAGATATTTTGCCTGTGGGTCTTGCTGCCACACATCGCAGGAAGCTTGTGTCCATTACTTACACGCCGTCGCATGGCTAGAAAACTTCACAAATCTGGTTTCTTACAAATCTACTTTCTCATGATCTTATATGCTTTCTTATAGATTGAGACTGTCTACAAATCCCTTAACGATTCGCCACACGAAGAACAGATAACAAAATTGTCAATGCTTAAACTTCGATATTTCACTCCTAAAGAAATAGCAAATCTCCTTGGATTTCCTCCAGAGTTCGGTATGTGGGATCCATGCAGATCTCATCTTTCATTTGTTAAAGCTGTCAAAATTCCCTTTCAGCCTCACATCTGTATTTAATGAATAAATCCTTGCCTACACAGGTGTGTTCAGGAAACCCCCTTCCTGTCCCAAGTGCCATATTTGGCATTTTCCTGCCCGCTTTGCCCTTTTCCTAAGAACCTGCTTCACTGCGTTCCTTTCTGGCTCCGACCCTTAACTCCAGTCGGGGTCAGAGAGGTTTGCGTGGGCACTGGGGGAATAGGCAGACCCTCACCTGAGCAGATGTTGTTAGTAACCTCCCATTTCGGCTCATCCTCTTGCTTGTGGAGGTCTGATCTTAGGAAGCCACACTAGATATTGCAAAGAATGCTTTTTATTGCCTTTTCTCAATGCAGAAACCCAAAAGGCTGTTCAGTTGAGGAATTGGGGTGGGGAACATTTGGATTTATTTTCCTCTGCAAAAATACATTTTTATCAGTTGTGTGCCTTTATCCTTCCCTACAAGGGTTAATTAAAGCAGAAAAGTCTAGGAACAGAGGGAGACCCAGAAGCACAGATTAGGGGATCTCTGCAGAGCCTTTCAAGAACAAAAGTGAGGATAGAGTCAGTGCTGTGCGCTGTAAGAAAGCCAGTGTTGGTAGGC